TGACTATGAATTTCGCACTTGGTTGCTGGCATCCAGAAATGACTGAAGCAAGTAGATAAGGAGGCTTTTCAGATTTTCAGGGAACTGTATTGTCAAATAAGCCATAAGCCTGAACTTCAAAAAATAAAAATAAAAAAGAGAGAGAGAGAAAGTGTTTGAACTTCCGGGCCTTAAAACCACCTTGAGGCTGGGTGCGGTGGCTCACGCTTGTAATCCTAGCACTTTGAGAAGCTGAAGCATGTGGAACACCTGAGGTCAGGAGTTCGAGACCAGCCTGACCAACATGGTGAAACCCCGTCTCTGCTAAATCACACACACACACACACACACACACACACACACACACACACAAGTTAACCGAGCATGGTGGCGCATGCCTGTAATCTCAGCTACTCGGGAAGCTGAGGCAAGAGAATCACTTGACCCTGGGAGGTGGAGGTTGCAGTGAGCTGAGATTGCGCCATTGCGCTCTAGCCTGGGCGTCAGAGCGAAACTTCATCTCAAAAAACAAAACAAAACAAAACAAAACAACGCACTTTGAGGTCTTAAAACTTTTACCCGAAGGAGCTGCAGGCTACAAAAGGTAAGTGGCAACCGGGAAGGGTCTACCCCTCAACAGCCGCTGTGAATGTGGCCTTGAGCAATGTGGCAAGAGGACGGTGTGGAGGGCAGGGCAGGGAGCCACAGAGAACAGGACAGGGCAATTCCTTCAAGAATGGGGGCTCTCCCAGCACCCACTCGGCCAAATGGCATCATCGCTGTCATCAGAGCCTGCTTTGCATCTTCTATTCTTCCCTTCTCTGAAGAGGATGTTGTCCTGTGCTTGCCCTATCTGCGCCCCACCACTGGATCTGGAAGTGTGCTGTGTGTCTGTAGTGGGGTGGGGAAAGGAAGGACACAGATAACTTGTTCTTTTAGGCATTGGTTTCCAGATCACAGGGAGTCACAGAGGACCTGGAGGAGAGAATCCTGTGTGTGCTGGAGATCCTGAAATGTAGTGGAGGCCCCCCAGGAGGCAGTGACCGTGTGGACTCAGCTGCCTTCCTGGGAAACAGTGAGTGTGTTCCATGTGGGAGAGGAAGAGTGAGATGGCTACTTAGTGGCCATTGGGCAACCCGTGGCAGAGACTGGCTAGAGGCTTACGAACACTGTCTTTGTTCATTATTTTGCATTGCTGTAAGGGAACCTGAGGCTGGTAATTTATAAAGAAAGAGGGGTGTTTGGCTCATGGTTCTTCAGGCAGTACAGGAAGCATGATATACCAGCACCTGCATCTGGGCAAGGCCCCAGGAAGCTTCTACTCGTGGCTGTAGAACAAGGGGGAGCAGGCACGCCACATGGCAAGAACGATGCCAGGCTCCTTTAAACAACCAGGCCTGGTGCAGTGGCTCACACCTGTAATCCCAGCACTGTGGCCAAGGTGGGAGGATTGCTTCAGGCCAGAAGTTTGAGACCAGTCTGGGCAACATAGCAAGACGCCATCTCTAAAAAAAAAAAGTTAGACTGGGCGCCGTGGCTCACACCTGTAATCCCAGCACTTTGGAGGGCCGTGGTGGGCAGATCACTTGAGGCCAGGAGTTCAAGAGCAGCCTGGCTAACATGGTAAAACTTTGTCTCTACTCAAAATACAAAAATTAGCTGGGCATGGTGGCAGGCATCTGTAGTCCCAGCTACTCAAGAGGCTGAGGCATGAAAATCACTTGAACCCAGGAGGCAGAGGTTGTAGTGAGCCAGAATTGTGCCACTGTACTCCAGCCTAGGTGACACAGTGAGACTGTCTAAAAAAAAAAAAAAAAAAAAATTAGCCAGGTGTGGCGGTGTGGGCCTGCTCGGGAGGCTGAGGTGAGAGACTCACTTGAGCCTGAGAGGTGGTTGCAATGAGCCATGATTGCACCACTGCACTCCAGCCTGGATGACAGAGTGAGACCCTGTCTCAAAAAACAAACAGACAAACAAAAACAAAGCACCCACATGAGCTAATAGATTGAGAACTCACTCATTACCCTGGGGAGGGCACCAAGCCATTCCTGAGGGATCCACCCATATGATGCAAACACCTCCCACCAGGCCCACCCTTAACACTGGGGCTCATATTTCAACATGAGATTTGGAGGGGCCAAACATCCAAGCTATATCGAACGCCAGCCCCTCTACTGCCAGATGAACTGCTAGATTCCATTCCCCACTTTCATTGCATTAGATGCGGCCATGGGCGGAGTTCTGGCCAGTGAAGGTGGGTGGAAATTAGGTACTTATCTGTCATAAAAGCCCACACAACCTTCCAAACCATTCTCCTTGTTCTCTCCAGGCTGCTGACTGGATACAGATGTCCAAGGCCAATGTGGAAGCCATGCATCAAAGATGGCAGGGGGCTGGGCATGGTGGCTTACACTGGTAATCCTGGCACTGTGGGAGGCTGAAGCAGGAGGATCACTTGAACCCAGGAGTTTGAGACCAGCCTGAGCAACCTAGCGAGATATCATCTCTACAAAAAATTGAAAAGCTGGTCCAGGCGTGGTGGCTCACGCCCGTTATCCCAGCACTTTGGGAGGCTGAGGCAGGTGGATCACAAGGTCAGGAGTTCGAGACCAGCCTGGCCAACATAGTGGAACCCCGTCTCTACTAAAAAATACAAAAAAATTAGCCAGGCATAGTGGAAGGCACCTGTAATCCCAGCTACTCGGGACGCTGAGGCAGGAGAATCGCTTGAACCCAGGAGACAGAGGTTGCAGTGAGCCGAGATCGTGCCATTGCACTCCAACCCGGGCAACAGAATGAGACTCCACCTCAAAAAAAAAAATAAAAATAAAAAAAATAAAAAACTAACCGGGCACTGTGGCTCACATCTGTAGTCCCAGCTACTTGGGAGGCTGAGGTGGGAGGACTACTTGAGTCCAGGGGGTTGAGGCTGTAGTCAGCAGTGATTGCACCACTGCACTCCAGTCTGGGTGACAGAGCAAGACTCTGTCTCAAAAATAAATAAATAAATAAATAAACTTTTGTGACTTTATGGAATTCAAGCCAATTGGATTTCATATGAAGAAGTACACTTCTATTACATTAAGCCACTGAAACTTTGCTGTTTGCCTGTAATAGCAGCTGGTGTCACCTTAACTAGAGTTGAAGACATGGGAGCAGAGCAGCCAGAGCAGGGAGAGGCAGGAAGAGAACTGAGGCAGGACCCTGGGGACACCTCATTAAAGAGTGGGTGACAGGGAGGTGGCACAAAGGAGACCGAGGAGGAAGCAAGCGGAGGTTGAGGGCAGAGTGAACTTCTGGAAGAAAAGGAACATGGTGGCCAGGCACGATGGCTCACGTCTGTAATCTCAGCACTTTAGGAGGCCGAGGCAGGCGGATAACTTGAGGTCAAGAGTTCGAGACCAGCCTGGCCAACATGGTGAAACCCCATCTCTACTGAAAATACAAAAACTAGACGGGTGTCATGGTGTGTGCCTGTAATTCCAGCTACTTGGGAGGCTGAGGCAGGAGAATTGCTTGAACCTGGGAGGCGCAGGTTGCAGTGAGCTGAGATCACACCACTGCATTTCAGCCTGGGTGACAGAGTGACACTCCGTCTCAAAAAAAAAGGAACGGGCCAGGTGCAGTGGCTCATGCCTATAATCCCAGTGCTTCAGGAGGCCAAGGTGGGCAGATCATAAGGTCAGCAGTTCGAGACCAGCCTGACCAATATGGTGAAACCCTGTCTCTACTAAAAATACAAAAATTAGCCAGGCATGGTGGCGGGCACCTGTAATCTCAGTTACTCCAGAGGCTGTGGCAGGAGAATCACTTGAACCTGGGAGGCGGAGGTTTCAGTGAACTGAGACCGTGCCATTGCACTCCAGCCTGGGTGACAGAGCAAGACTCCATCTCAAAAAAAACCAAAAACACAGTGGAATGTGGTGGAGAGAGTAATGTCTTAGTTTGTCTTATGCTACAATAATAGAGTACCTGAGACTGGCTAATTATGAGGAACAGGGATTTATTTCTTACAGTTCTGGAAACTGGGAAGTCTAATATTGACGGGCCGGCATCTGGTGAGGGCTTTCTTGCCACATCATCTGACAGTGCAAGGGCGAGAGAGGTAGAGACAGAGAGAGAGAAAGGGGCTGAATTCATCCTGTTGTAAGGAACCCACTCCCACTGAGATAACAGCATTAGCCCTTTCTTGAGGGCAGAACTTCATGGAATAATCACCTCTCATTAGGCCCTACCTCTCAACACTGTTGCATTGGGGATTAAGTTTCCAACACATGTTTTTGGGGGTACACATTCAAACCATAGTGAGAAGAAACTCTAGATACATATGTATACATACATACATACATGTACTTTTTTTTTTTTTTGAGACAGGGTCTCACTCTGTCACCCAGGCTGGAGTGCAGTGGGGTGTTCATAGCTCACTGCAGCCTCAACTTCCTGGGTTCAGGCAATTCTCCCACCTCAGCCTCCTGAGTAGCTGATACTACAGGCATGCACGCCACCACACCTGAATGGGTTTTTTTTTTCTGGTAGACATGAAGTCTCACTATGTTGCCCAGGCTGGTCTCAAACTTGTGGGCTCAAGATCCACCCACCTCAGCCTGCCCAGGTGCTAGGGTTACACACGTGAGCCACTGAGCCCAACCAAACACTACATATATATATATATATATGCATGTATGTATATATATAAAAAATATATGTGTATATATGTGTGTATATATATAAAAGTTATATATAAAATATAAAATATATATGCACCAAGGCAAAGGCTTAAAAAATAATTTTATAAGTATATATATTTATTTTTCCCAAACTAAAAAGGATGTGTCTATTGAGGCCAAGAGGATGCAAACAATCTAAAGATCAAAAGCCTATTATTTAATTAACTTCCTTTCTTTGCTTGTTAGATGAGATTTGGATTTGATGTGTCTGTTTTCTTGGCCCTGTCTGCTCACGAAAGCCTTCTACGGGGGAAGCTGCGGGCAGGTTCCTATAGCGACTCTTTGGGAGAACTCTCACGGGGCCGAGTAATTGCTTAGTTCTGCCTGCTTCGTCCCCTTCTGCTTCATAGGTACTACAAAATAGTTGTTGTCCACAGTGGTGAGCCCCGCAGGGAGTGAAAACAAGTTCTGGAAGTTCAGTGTGCTGTCTTGGCGCTGGTCCGCGTCCTTCATTGTTATGTCCGCAGCCAGAGGGTCTTTTTGGTTCTCCAAAAATCCAGGGAACTCCTTTCCCATGAGTACTTGCAGGCCCTCCTTCATTAAGTAGCCTTTATCCCCAGCAAATCTGTGAAACGTAAACAACGCGGTTTCCATGGTGTGTTCCATTGGGCCGGGGTTGCTCGTGAGATCTGTTGAAACCTTGGCCGGAGGTGCGTTGTGGGCGCTTGGCAAGCTGGGCCTCAGGGCCCCTCGGGAAGGCGCAGTATTAAGAACTTGTTTTGCAAAGGAGCCCTGGGTCAGGCACAGGGTCTGAGGCTGGCCTTTCGAGGGCCCCTTTCCTTCCTGGGACAGGCCACCACACCATGCGGCAGATGCAGCTCAGGGCAAGATGCAAGGGGGCAGGACGCAGGAGAGACGCTCAGTCCAAAGTGGAGTGGTGTCTGGGGGGTCTGGGCTGGGAGATTTACATGGTTAAGTTAAGAGTCTTAACTTCTTGGAGTCATGAACCCCTCTGAGAACAAGGCAAGAGCTAAGGCCCCTGCCTGAGAGCAATGTAGGCAGCTGGACGCACTATTTCACTCCCAGCCTCGGGAATTTCATGGGCCTCCTGAGGCTGGCCCGTGGGGTCCAGGGAAAGAGCCTCGGCCTTGTAGGGTCTCTTATAACCTTGACTAGCTGCCTCCCACAACCCTGCTGGGATCACTACCTTACAAAGGAGGAAATAGATGCCATGTAGAACTTGCCTGGAGTCACACAGCTACAAGCATGACGCCTGAATTTGAAGGCAGGTGTGTCTGACTGTCCTGTTCCCCTAGCGTTCAGCACGGGGCCTCTTCAGCCATCCCAAGGCATCCCCAGCAACACAGAAGGCACCTCAGGAAGGGGTCATGGGAGGGTTCAGGGAGGAGGGGATGTCTGGGCTCAGCAGGTGGCATGGCTGTGGGAGCCTCAGGGCTGGGGAGAACCCAAGGCAGGGAACGAGGCAGGGCCTTGCTTAGGGCGTGGCAGAGACAGGGGTGAGCTCAGGCCTGGCTGCAGCCGATGCCCAAGCTGTCGGGCAGCCCTGAGAGGCCAGAGTGGAGTGGTGGACCCAGGAGTGAGGAGACGCCTCGTCCAGCAGCCCACGGTCTGTTTCCTTCTACCCCTGGATCAGGAGAGAGCGGCAGACCTGATGTCAGCTGGGCTTCCCTCTGCCCAGCACTGTCATCACTCAGGCTTTGCTTTTCTTGGCCTCACAAGCAAGGCTGGGGACTGGAACGAATATGACTGGGTCTCTAACATCACCATAGGGAGTCAGAGGCATTTCCCCCTAATCTAAGGCCTCCCGGTCTGAGGCCCTGTGTATTCGTTTCTAGAGCTGCTATAACTAAGTACCACACACTAGGCAGCTGCAAACAACAGAAGTGGATTGTCTCACACTTCTGGAGGCCAGGAGTCTGGAATTCAGGTGTGGACCGGCCTGCTCCCTCCAAGCCTGGAGGGGAAGACTTGGTGCCTCTTTCTGGCTTCCGGTGGTTGCCAGTCCTCCTGGCAGGCCCAGGCTTGCGGCTGCCTCCCCGCAGTCTCTGCCTCTTCTTTCTTTCCCACAGAGCAGGAGCGTATGTCTGTCTCTCTGTGTCTCTTCTCTTCTTTCATAAGGACACCAGTCCTATTGGATTAAGAGCCCACCCTACATTCCAGTATGACCTCACCTTTGCTAATTACATCTGCAACAATTCTATTTTCAAATATGTCACATTCAGAGATACTAGGGGTTAGGTCTTGAGCATATCTTGTGAGAGGAACACGGTCTTACCCATAACACCCTGCGGGGTAATTTACCTTTCCCTAAGGAGCCCCGACCCTGAACACCCTTGGACTGTGGGATCCCCACCCTCACACCGGCCTCCAGCAATGGCTGACCTGGCAGAGCCAGGAGCTGTGGGGGCTTTCACAGCCCATGCCTGGGTGACCAAATCCAGCTCCTGCCACCAGAACCTTCCTTCCAGGGCGGCTCGTGAGTAGTGCGGTGCTGGGAACACACAGCACGCAGCTTAGGGCACCGGCTGCTGCCACCAGCCCCCGGTTAATCTCCTCCAGCCTCAGCAAGAATGTGGCGGTGACAGGAGCTCTCAGGAAGCCAGGGAAGGAGGGGAGGCCTGGTGCTTTTCTTTCAAGGGAAGAATTCTCCCCACGGATCTGCTCCAAGGAGTTAGTAGGGAGGGAGGGAACCAGGTTTCCAGCCTGGCATTCCTGACCAACAGTCCCTGGCCGGCCACTGGGCCCTGGGGGAGGTGGCTGTGTGAGGCTAGGGTTGGGGAGGGGTGCAAAGCCCGCTCAGCTCTGGGCCAGGTTTCCAGCAGGAGGAGCTAAGACAGCCCAAGTCCACCTCAGAGTCAGGTTGCCTTGGTCATTCATTCCCTCCTTTGCTCCACCAACATTCACCCAGTACTTATTACATAGCAGGGACATGCGGACCGGGGGACCAGAGCAAAACAACAGGAGAGATGCTGAGGTCAGCTGTGCTCAGAGGAGAGGGCTTGGGGGACGGCCCTGGATCTGGCTTGGAGAGGCAGGGAGCATTCTCCAGGGGGAACGTGTTCCAGGTAGAGTGCACGCAAGTCAAAGGAATGGAGACCTGGAGATCCTGGGGCTCTCCGAGGGTGCCAGTCACCCCTCAGGACTGGGATGAGCCCCGATGCCAGGAAGGGCAGGCGCCAAGGACACAGGCAGGAGTCAGACGACATGGAGTCTGTACCAGGGAGCTTGGGTTTAATCTTCTGAGCCATGGGATGGCACTGATGGGTTTTAAGCAGTGTAAAGACTTGATCCAATTTGTGAATTGGATCATCCTGGCTGCAGTGGGCAAGCTGCTGGGGTGCCGGGAATTGTTTGGAAGTCATTGGTCCAATGCATGGCAGTGGTGTGACCACCTGGGAGGATGACCCCACAGAGCAGAGGAGTGGCCCAGGATGCACCTTTGGGAATGTCAGCATGGGGAGGGAAGACCAGGGAAGAGGAGCTGGTCAGAGAGAGTGTATAAGTGGCCAGAAGAGATAGGAAGTGGCCTTCAGAAGGCAGATAGAGAGCAGTTAGGGAAGATGGGATTGTCAGTAGCATCAGATGCAGCCAAGATGTCAAGCGATGCAAGAACTGAATATATCATTGGGTTTGGTGATTGGGAGGTGGCCTCCGTGAGCACAGCATGAGGGGGTTTGAAGTCAGCGGGCTTGCCACAAGCTGGCAGGCAGCTGGAAACTCGTTCCTTGTGCACAGCAGTTATGAAGGCTGGGGAGCGGCCTTTTTAGAGGAGAAGGAGGAGGAGGAGAAGGAGGAGGAGGAGAAGGGGAAGGAGGAGGAGGAGGAGGAGGAGGAGGAGGAGGGAGAGCTGCCGGTGATCAAGTTCCCAAGGGCATTGCTGGCTGAGCAGGAGCTTCAACTTGCAGCTGCTTTGGGACCGTTCGCCCTGGACAGAAGCCTGAGTGAATTGTTATCCCCAGGGTCTACGGTGCTGCATTGCAGCAGCAAAGAGCCCCCATTATAACAGCGCTTGACTGATGGCCCACTGCATGCCAGGCACTGAACCAGGGCGTTGCGCACACCATTTCATTGAGTCCTGCACAGAGGTATTATTGCCCATGTGCTGATGTTGAGAGACGTAAGTGACTTAAGAAAGAAGCTCTGCTACTCAGTAGCAGAGAAGGGATGTGAAGCCAGGATGACCTGAACCCAAGGCTGTTGCAGCTTCATCCTGCTGTTGTCCTAACTCCTGGGAGATGTGGCTGAGAAGTTCTCCTTGGTCCTCGGCTGTTGGGTGGTGAGCGGTTGACAGGTGGCTGTGCTTATCCAATCTGGGCCAGGAACTGGACTTCAGGTGGCTGGATCATTCATGGAGAGAGCGGCAGTGGCTGGGGTTGACATGAGTCAAGGTAACAGATAGCTGATGCCGTCTTCTTGAGGAGTTCTCTCTCTCAGGGTGGTGGTAGAACCATGGAGGCAGTGGGGTGCAGGTGCAATGAAATCCTTAGCCCTGGGACCCTAGATGGCCTCTTTGTCTGAGGTCAAGGTCAAGGGTCACAAGTGCTAGATAGGGTCCTCTATGATGGGAGGAGCCTCCAGAATCCTGGAGGGTAATTCACAGTAGACCGTGGTGGTCCTCTGAGGAGTGAAACTGTGAGTGGTGGCCATCTCTGGAGAGAAAAAGGGTGCAGCTAGTGGTGTTGGTGGTCTAGGACAGCCCAGTGCTCCCTAGCAGTCATCCTCTAAGGCTGCCACAGTGGCTCTGCGATTTGGGAGCGTGGATGCTGCACACAGGTGACCTTCACATCTGCAGCAGCCACAGCTGGATGGTGTGACAAGCGTTGCTGGGAGCTCTCTTTTCATCTGGGCACACAGAAAGACCGTATGCCCAGCTTTCCCTGTGGTTAGATGTGGCCATGAGACTGAGTTCCAGCTGAGTGGAGGGAACAGTCTGGGGAAATGTGACTGCTTTTCTAGGCCTGCCTGTAACTATAAAAGCCTTCCCCACTTCACTGGCTCTTCATGCTCTTTCCCCTTTCCTTGCTGGATGTCAACATCCCAAGTGACCTTGGGAGCCATGTGTTGAAGGTGACAGATCCCGGGTAATTGAAGAGCTCTGTGGCAGAGAGCTCCTCCCCCAACTCCAGGGGCTGGGCCCACCTGTGACTGTTTATGTGAATGAGAATTCCCCCTCGCTACGCTTGTGCCATTATCATTCTCAGGTTGTTTCTTGCAGCATTAACTGATCCTGTCTAATACAGATAGCCACAAAGCCGTTAGGTCCTGTGATCTCTTAGCTTTCATCTCCGGCTATTCTGTATCTGTTCAGTAGTTTTGGCTCTCCCCAGCCTGGAGCAGATGTGGAATTTGAACTCTCACGAGGCACAAGCCATTTTCTTTGGATGATTATGTTATGATGTGCTGGTGCACCATCTTGGGGAGCCAGACCCTGTAAAGTGGTTCATCCCCCCTTTACAGCGGCTGTAATTGTGTCTGGGGTGTTGACCTCAGCTAGAACCAACTTTCTCCAAACAGACAGGGGCAGAGGTCACCTGTGCTGGCTTCCTGTTGCAATTTTATGTCCCCACCAGAGCACAAACAGCACTCCCCTGGGTGAAGTGACTCAGGGAATAAGGAGGGCAGACAGAAACTGGTTTCTCAGCTGC